AGTAGCAATAGAGAGACAAGCAGTGAGTCCCTTTGCAGAATTACTATAGTAGTGTTGACTCAATCGTCCCTATGCTCTTGATACAAATGATTACGTTTATCAGATCATCGTTATAATCAAACCTCCGCAAACCACTGCTGGAAATGGGTCTCCTCGAATTCATGCCATTGAGTCCTCGTTTATTCTTTTCCAATTGGTCCCACATGGGAATCGAAGCCAAGACTTCTGCAAAAGAGAGTCCATTTTCCATCAATCATTTGAAAATAATTATTTGGGTAAGCCAAGCTGAAACGTCTGTAAGTTCACTTCATTCACCTTTCTACTTTCTAGCAATAATTATAAAAGACTAGCTGACTCAGCGAACTTCGTACCGCCTATGTTCATCAGAAGTACTGTAGGATTAGTCATCATCATCATTTCAGCCATAGGACGTCCACTGCTGAACATACCTTTACTATGTCGTCGTAGGATGTAGGATTAGTAATAAGGCGAAAGCATTTTCAAATCGGTCCAGTAGTTTAGGAGCCTATTTGATACAAACAAATAATCAAATCTTTTCTCTTTTATTTGTGAAGAAGGAGAAATGGGGTAGAAGGGGGAAAAGGGGTAAAAGGGGAAGGGTAGAACAAGACTGCTGCCTCTCTTTTTATTATGGCCGCCATGAATTATGCAAAGCGAGGCGCAGACCTCTATTTTGTCTGGCATTCGGAGTATCTGCATTCGAACACTTTACTGTCGGTCGTAACGCGAAGAAATGGTAGAACGAACGACAAAGAATAAGGTTGGACTTAAAAACCATACTTCTGATAATAGATTTAGAATTATTGATCTAAGTTCAACCTAGTATTATATTATCTGTGGTTCAACCTAACAAGTTTGAAAAGGATTTAAAACCGACTTTTGAAAAAAATTTACAACTTGTTATTTGAACGGTTGGTCGACCATTATTCTACTTCAATTAAAGCTTTAATAGTCAAAGTAGCTTGCTCAGTTGACTGTATTTTTCAAACCTCATTTCGCTTGAAAAACTTGTAGGTATACCTAATGTAATAAGTATATACTAGGTACGCTACAATGGCTTGAAAATTAGTTTAAATTTTGATTTTAATAGTTCCTATCTGATGTTATTAGGCGAACTTCCTCTTGACCTAGCTCTAATGGAAGGTGTATCGTTCGCCGATAGAATCTTAGAATATCCTGAAAACTGTGTCAAGTTTTTGAATGGAAATTTTCCTTTAGCTATAGTTTAATAAACATGGTGATATTCTGCTATAACGTAATTTTCACATTAATATAAAAACAAGATGCAAAAGACAGAGGTGACGAATATCCTTCCATCACTTTTTCAGTTTCAGCCAGTACTGATGTCCCAAGGCAAGCTACATAAAAATAAGGAATTTGAATTTGATTTTTCAAGTTTCCACCCCGAATTATCCTAGTGACCTCACTCTACATCTGGCCTTCATATCCTAATCTTTTTCATACTTATCCCCACGAAGATAGGGGCATAAAAACGAATGTTTAGAATTCAAATTATACCTATCACACGATATCACGCCTGCAGCGTCGTAGATTGTAATTCTGATCTAACACGACGATGTATTAAGGTTTTGTGTTTTTCTATATGTATGCTAATTTTATTTCTAAATGCTTGGAAGTGGTAGACCTCGCTCACATAGAATTACCTAAAATTGACCGAAAGAAATAAGTTAGTGACAGGAAATCTGGGGAAGCAATTCAGACAGAATAGATACCTTTTTACTTATAAATTACATTACATAGGTACCTAAGGTATTAAAAAACAAATCTTCATCGAATTAAATCAATGGAGCTCGAGAAAAAATATTCAAGATACAAATACGGTCTACTCTAGTTTTGTTGTGGAAAACAACATAGGTACGTTAAGTTCTTTATGATTTTTATCGAAAAAAGGACAAAAGTGCTTTTTTAAAAATTCACTTTGCAATTATTTTAACCCTTTTTTGTGTCGATTTCAATGTAAAATAACATTGTAAACTTTATAGACATAAGAAATTTTTAATTAAACCATTAGTATCTTGCGAAGGCACTTCTAATGATTTCAGCAATTAATTTTTGCAACATTGTTGGTATTGATGAAGATAATTTACACAGAATGAAAGCTTCACCCTTCGAAAACTTTAGAAATTCATTAGTCTAACGTTTCAAACTGTCTAGGCAAGATTATCTCTTTTGTTATCTTACTATCTATAAGTACTTTTAAGTTTTATGATACTTCACTAATATTATAAAGAGGAAAGGTTTGTATTTTTGTATGTTTGTAACGAATAAACTCAAAAACTACTGGATCGATTTGAAAAATTCTTTCACCATTAGAATCCTATTTTTTTCTGATGTACAAAGTTATATTTTAATCACTACATAGTATAAAACAAAGTCGTTTTCCGCTGTCTGTCCCTATGTATGCTTAGATCTTTGAAACTACACATTACAACGGATTTTGATGCGGTTTTTATTTAACAGATAAAGTGATTCAAGAGAAGGTTTATAAGTGCCTATACTTAGCATCCGTGCAAAGCCGGGGCTTGCCGTTACTTATTGATAAAACTTTTAGGCTATCAGTTTCAAAGGGTTCACGTTTTTATTGCGATAGTATATTTTTTAATAGCATCAAAGCATAACCTTTCAATATAAACGAGAAAAGGTTACCTCCCACGTAATTCGTTGACATTTTCAAGCTATGATCTTCATTCATTTGGCTAAAATACAATTCCATGAAGTCTATTATTAAAATACGGCAAGATACGAATCAATAGTCTCTTATAATAATGCGAAATCTTTCATTAAATACAGAGACAGTCTGCTTGAGTTGAAGATTCACTTTTGATTGAGTTTTGACAAATCAAACGAGGCCTAGGGGATCATGTACATACTGAAATAAATCATACATCAACATAGAGTATGTCTTTTCAGTGCAGTCTAAAGAAAATAATGATGCTGATGAAACGGCGGGTTAATTATTTCTTTAATTGTTACTCATCAAAATTGAGTATCAGCAATTAATATATTAGTTAATCGTGAGCAACCCAAAGGTAGAGACGTGTCTCGAGGTTCGCGGTTAAATAATCGGAAAACTAACATTAATTGCTTAAAATCGATTAAACGTCATTAATTAACACATTTGGACCGGGTATTTCAAGTTATTAATTAATTTTTAATGCAATTTAAATTGACACAAGGCGAACATAATGAAAAAAAATTATCTGACAATATTGACTGAGTTTCTGGCGCTGCTTCTTCTTAGCACTGGCCCATATTACTGTCCCGAAGCGGTAGTACATGTAAAAGTACTCTTTGAGTGCTCATTACAACAATTAAATGAAATTATTTTTATAAATAGGTAACTGCGACGTAACATTTTTATTTAACAGCCTAGGAATCTGCCCAAGACTCTAAAATACTTAAATTCCTTGACCTTTTATGGCAAGATCAGGATTACGCGTAGCTTAATTTCAGGCTTACCTAGAAGTGCCTAATGGAAGGCATTTTTATCATTTATTCACAATCCACGTGGGTCGAGGATTATCCCAAAAAGTCACCTTCAAAGGGATAAAGGCTGAGTCACAATATTGTAATGGAGCTAATGGATTATTGCTAATACGAGCAGTTCATTAATTTATTTGAATCAATCGAGTTGAAAGTGGGATTATGGAGTGCTAGCGGCCGCCCGCGACTTTGTGCGCGTGGATCCCGTTTTACCCCCTTAGGGATGGAGTTTCGTAAAATCCTTTCTTAGCGGATGCCTACGTCATAACATCTACCTGCATGCCAAATTTCAGCCCGATCCGTCCAGTGGGCTGTGCGTTGATAGATCACTATGTCAGTCAGTCAGTCACCTTTGAGTTACATATATTTAGATTTAGATAAATTACATTTTTCCCTGTTTATAAAGAGAAACATAACAAAGATGGCTTGTTGAAAAGCTTTAGAACTGCACTACTGAGTAGGGGGTACTTTAATTGCTATGATCTACTTAAAGGATTCAAGTGCTCTTAGCGCAAAGCCTTTGAAGTGAAAATACGTCCTCAATAAACGAGCAACTACTCTTTACTTTTTAAAGTGTACTTATTAGTATTTTGTAGTATACAATTTCCTAATAGGTATTCCTTCTCCCTTTCAGTGAGGCTAAATATTAAGCTTTTGTGAAAGGAGAAGGTTTGTTATGTCGTTCTGTTGTTGTCGTTTAATATGTATTATGTACTGTTTCTATAAAGTTTTTCTGTCTATCTAGTAGATAGGTAGATAGTATCTACCTATCTACCACAATAGTCGGGGATCGAACTGACGACCCTCGATTCGGTAGTCCGACAATGACACCGTTGAATATTGTCTTCTCAAACTTAAAGAAGTGTCATCTAACTTTATCTATATGAAACGTAAAAAGTCTGTCAAACTCCATACAAAAAACACCGGTTAAAGTTACGATTAAAGGTGATGCAACTCAGCCTTATGAAATAGGTCCTACAGTCTCTGTCTTTAGGTCCTTATTTTGTTACAGTGTCTTTTGAAAGTATTTTTATCATAATCTATCAACGTTATGAAGCATTATTGATTCTGAAACACTTGTCTCGTTGATAAAGCTGTTTTGTCAAGGCATTTTACATTAGACAAAATGATTTTTTTATCCACAACAACTCTTGGCTTGTATCTCACCTGAAATGATGATCAGGCCGAAGGTGGAAGCGAGCTTCACCCGGAATCCTCAACCACAGAGGCTGGCTATCTTACCTCTAGCTCCCGGAACACAACAATGCTGTTAACATTGTTGTTATGGCGACAGACTTAGGTAAGATGGTGGTAGCTAGCCAGGCGGACTTAAAACAAGCCCTACAACCAACCATACCGAACAGAAAAATCTGCCCCCACTGAGAATCGAACCCGGGACCTCTGCGTCTGAAGCAGGTGGTCTACAGAAGCGGTTAAAATGTTTTGTAATGTAACTTTGTTTTTCTTTGTTCCAGTAAAGCAAGATGATCGACCCAAGCTCTTCCGAAGACGACAGTGATGATGAACACAAGAAGCAACCCAACAAATTACCAGGTAATCATCATCATCATTATGTTAATCATCAATTTACTGGTACAAATGCACCAGGTCATATCTTGATCATCAATAAACAGTTAAGTTGTCACTATGAGGTCCAGTGGGTGAAGAGTTGAGCTCTCTCAATTCAGATGTATAGGATTCTACTCCCAAATAGGACACCACATACGTTAGAGATGGATAAAGGCTAGATTTTCTCTTCAAGGAAGTGAAGTGATAGGGTATGAAATATGTTTACGAAATGTCTATGCCAGACAGCTACACATCACTATCGTTCGATCTCATTCGGTCCGCGCGCGCGTTCACTCTTCCATTCACTGTATCCCCCTCTCGCCCATCAGCCACCGAACCGGCATGACGTGTCGGCCGGCATTTGAACTCCAATTTCAATGTAATATTATTGTCTAAAGTACAATACATTCTCAAAACTCGAGAATGTATTTCATTAATTAGTTCTGCGTGAACACGAAATACATTTCATTTCAAAAAAATATTGAAATTAATTTACTGAGGCTGCCTCTACACGAATAATTCCGGGAGCAGATGCTATTTTAAAACCAACTGCTCCAGGCAGTATTCAATCCTATGACCTTATCCTACCAACTGACTGCTCTCCCCATTTCAAACTAAATTAAACTTTTTTCTGAGTACAATAAAAATAACTGAAAATGTTGTTTCAGTCCCCCCTCCTAACCCTCTTAGCTTAATGAACCTAATTTATTTTAAAGGTCACCTTTTCCTGTTTCTGCTTGTTAATATTAACCTCTAGGCTGCAGTAGATAAATAACACAAACGTGCCTAAACATAAACTTAGCAATATCACAAAATGTCCAGCCTAAATGAGTCTCCTTCGTTTTTTCGTCGGTTAAAAAGCAGTCGAGTGCGAGTCGGACTCGTGCACCGAGGGTTCCGTACAAACTTGTAAGAATGTAAGTACCCACTCGTAGTTTGTAAACGCAAATCAACAATTATTTTCATTTTGACGTTTTACAGTTGGTACTTATTATTATTCTGTGGTTTTACCTTTTAAGGTACGGAACCTTATTAAAAAACGGGCGATGTGCTTTGTGGCGATGTCCTTTGGAACATGGCGATCCTTCCAGCAAACTGCCATAGCTGAAATGATGATGATTCAGATTGATATTATAATCAATGCGAAAGTAACTTTGTCTGTCCGTAGCTTTACATCAAAATATAATTTTAGGAGGATATAGGAGCTAGGAAGAGATTGCGTTATCTGGCACCCGTAGTACAAGGTATTGCTTAGTTTACTATTAAAGATGGCGCAGCATAAAATCTCCAAGTATATTTATTTATTTATCCAACCTGTAAACTTTAGCGCACCATGTATAAGAAAACATCCAAGGCTGAATTTCCCTTGCGTGCACTAGAGTTTTGACCCTGCCATTAAGCGTGTAAACAAACAAGGCACTCGGCATTCGGCTATTAAAATATACGAGTCGTAAAGCTAGAAGTTAGAACGAGGGTAGCACATTAAAACATAATTAGGACTAACTGGCGGGCAGCGTTGGGTTTATTATTTAGAAAACATGGCTTGTCGCTTTTCTTACTCAGCTGGTGTGAGGCGGGAAATACTGTTCGCTCCCGCTGCGATTTGACATCATTTTAAAGGATATTTTTTCCATTGCCTTTGAACAGGAACTTTTGGTAAGGGAATAAAGTTAGAAATGTAATAGGAACGAAATATTCCTACATAAAAATATGTGACTGTTTTGTGGCGATATACCTACCTTTAAAGCTCGATTCACACATATCAGTGAAGCCACAGTTCCGTCACAGTGTCCGCTCAGTTCAGTATCAGTGCTACAGTGTTGCGTCAGTGAAATATTTTGAATATTTTAAAATGTCAGAGAGCTGTTTCAATATTCTTGTTTAGAAACTATGAAGTAAGTTATTTTGTTTTTGATGCCGCGGCGGCGTCCGTGATCCGACAAAAAATATCGTCGTCAACGAATACGTCCGTGATTGTCGGCACTGACACTGAGAGCACTGTGTCGATGTGTATGAAAGAATATTTCGCACTGTGCCGGTACTGAGCCTGAACTGTGACTTCACTGATATGTGTGAATCGGCCTTTACTGTAATAGCAAATCTTCATAGTATAATTGCGTTTTTTGTTTCGTTAGATTTCCACAATAGTTAATTGAATGGATAGAACAAAAGTTGGTACATTGTCTTTTTTAAGGGTTTAATCCTATGTAATACTGAACCCTTCTCGTGCAGGCCATCTTGCTCTTCTTTTAAGAGAAATAATCAAAAATGACACATCATCAAACAAAATGAACCTAAAGTTTAAATCTGTGTCATTGTTCCAGTGGTACCACCAGGCAGCTTGGCAGGAGGCAGACCATCCGTCAGAGGAAAGCCAGAACTCCCACGAGGTTCCACTGTGGGCCTTCCAGGTAGGTCTTCCAACTATTATCAATTAATAAACACTAAAAATATAAATTGCTAAATGACAGCAAAATTAGAATAAATGCAACTACCTACCTAAGGTTACTTCTACTCGACGACCTCATAAATGTAGCAGGAAGGCGCTGGATGTAGGCCGCTACTAAGCGATCAACATGGAATCATTGAGGGAGGCCTATGTTCAGCAGTAGACTTCCTATGACTGAAATATTGACAATGATGATTAACTCTATGAGAACTTAAGTACTTCTTCTCTTCATAAATTTTCATTGAGTTATGGTATATCCTTCCTATCAGGTCCGAGTCCTCTAACAACGGCGCCTCTAGCTGCCCCACTCCACCCTGCAACCAGGCAAAGGGAACAAGCGGCTTTGGCACCACCTCCTCATGCGTAAGTATCCTCACTTTCCTCTCGAAAGACGTCCCCTAACAAGCCAAAATAATCAATATCCAAAGGTATTAAAGATCAATTTTAAACTATGCTCATGACCATTCCGTGCCATAAAACATTCATGAGAGCTTTGCCAGTTTTAATGTAGGTTAAATTAGTAATAACAACAATATTTTGTAGCTATATTTTAACCAGGGTCACCTTGTCTGCCCTCGACCTCTAGTACAATAACAAATCTCTGTGATTATGGATGTTTGGAACCTATAGTTTTGGCTATTCGTTTGTTTACCAGTATATAAGTTGGATCAAAATTAGTATTTTTATGAAACCGTAAGTAATGCACATTTATTTGAACGTCTATCGGTAAACCCACGTACGTATTATTGATGTCAGTGATTCAGCGATGTGGCTCGATTCTTTAACGTCGTCCACATTATGACTCAACCATAAAAGATAATATTTATTGCTTGTGTGCAGATAGATGTGTATTTACTTATGGAGTTGAAATCGGAATGAAATAGGTACTTATTACTGTAGGTAGGTAGGCTATAATAATTATAATGCTTGTAGCAAACGTAGATACTGCTTAAGGATTCTATCAATCCGATTCAATGCTAGACTGTAGAGTCATACATAATACACCTTGTCTACATACACCGAAACGACAGTCTTGAATGCCTTTCGGGTCATAATGTGCCCCCCTGCTTGATAAGCTTAAGTTTTTACATAATTGAGGACTAAAAGTCGGTTTGTGTGGACCATTTCGACTACATTGACGACTTAATAACTGTAGATCGTGTAGATCCTTCTTGCGCAGGACATCAACGGGCAGTGCGAGCTCGGGAGAGGCACCAGCTCCGTCCCCCAGCCCCTCAGGTGCCAGTCACTCTGATAAGGACCAAGACCCGCAGGTAATTTATAGCATTAATTGTAATACAAATTAATAATAATATTCTATTACTTTTGTCAGTTAATTTATTATAATGTGCGTAAAAAATACATATGACAGCACATCAGACTTAACGTCTTTGTAGAAAAATGGTCACTGCTACAACAACATAAGAGGCTACACAAGCTTGATGTGCTGTCTTCTGTAAAAGTAAATAATTTTGTTCTATAATACTAAATACCTGTCTTTCTCTGACCAGGAGAAGATGGAAAAGCTAGAAGAGGACAAAAAGCGTCGGTTGCAGCTCTATGTCTTTGTGTCGAGATGTGTCGCGCACCCGTTCAACGCAAAACAACCCACGGACATGACGAGAAGGCATACCAAGCTCACACCGCATCAGCTGGAGACCATACAAGCGAGGTTCCAAGTATGTATAGTTACTAGAAAAAATAAAACAAATCGTACTTTCTCATGCGACACTCATACTACTACAACTAGGGTTGCCAGGTGTTTGTGTGTGGGTGGGTGGGTTTGGCTTTTTACGGTCTTGTCGGGCCTGTGCGGCCGTGATGAAGCACAGAGTTTTGGACCTGGCAACCCTAGACTCAACGCTAATTGGTCTTATAAAGTAAGTGATAATGTCTTTAAATTGATTCGGGAAGTCAATTTCAATACATCTGTTTTGATTGATAAGATATTTTTGTATTTTTATGAAAAGTCGCCTAGTCATCTCCGGAAAATGGAAAAGTGAAAAAGGGGACATTATCGGACATCAAAATATTCCCCGGGGTGGATGAAAGACCCAGTGTACTGCAGTGGTCGACCTAATAATAAATCAAATCGATATTGAATGTACAATACCTAGAAACCATAAAAGGCGGTTTTAAAATAACTGGAGACAAACTTAATAAAGTAGGTTAGGTAAGAAATGGTTTCTCCAGCACAATGTAATAAACTTGTACTCGTATTCTATTCAAAGCAGTTTATAACAAGTTTAATAAAACAAAGGACCATTCTAAGTTGTATAAAGCTGCGTTTCACGAAGCTTTATTTAATTACTTAAGTACACAAATCTATTAAAAGAAAATTCGCTTAATAATGTTATATTGTAATTATGTTCATTTAATACAATTAGGTCTTACGGTTTTGTGGTAATCGTTAGACAACTTAGCAGTTTTCTTTATTATAGAATAGGAAATAGGTAATTACATTGATCACTATTGGTTTGGTACAAGTAATTTCATAAACACTGAAATCATTTAGGGAAGTCGACCCTTAACTTCGAATTTCTTCTATGTTTTCCTTTGATTCTTCCTTTAATTAATTTCATAGGGGATCCAATGACAGTGTAACTTTCCCCCGGAATAAACTTGACCTTCACTGATTGGGTTTTATAACTGGTCAAATGTCCTGGCTACGCAGGAGTTGCAGTGCAAGAACGAAAGATAGGCATAGTTCCGTGAAAACAATCTCTGTGTTTTCAAGACTTCCCATGATGTTTCAACTCCTAAAACAGAAGATCATTAAATTGGACCTCATCTTTCTCCCCCAGGCGTTCCTCAAAGGCGAGACCCAAATCCTGGCAGACGAGGCCTTCCAGAACGCAGTCCAGTCGTACCACGATGTGTTCCTGAAGTCTGAGCGGGTGGAGCAGATGGTAAAGTCAGGGGCCTGCTCCCACCACGACTTCCGGGAGGTCTTCAGGAACAACATCGAGAAGAGAGTCAGGTTGGAAAAATCATTTTGCTAGAATTTTAGGAAACATTGTAACCCCCTTACTAATAAAACTTACACACTCGTTGAACAGTGTTATAAAGTAACGTTTAGTATGGAAATGTCATTTTAAAACAGTGTTAAACAACTGTGTAACTTTTTATTAGTAAGGAGGTAAGTGTCGAATAGACACTTTTAAAAAATACAGTGGAGTTTGGAACCTATTTAGGAGTCAGTTGAAAATAACAAAGGACTCAAGCATAGTTTAAAAATACTTAGTGCATAGCCAAATAATAAAGAATGTTCATGGAATTTACCGATACTTCAATTAAATCTTTTGTTTGGAAGCTTTTCATTGATAGAAGATTCAAAGCTCTTAATCAAATTATTCGAGTTCACAGAGTTTGGCTATAGGTTTAGCGGTGCAGTATTAATGAAGTTAAATTCTTAACAATGATTGTTACTAAGTATTTTGATAATCCATAATTACTTTATAGAACAACTAGATGACCAGATACTTAATGAAAGGTTTAGAAACTATTTAAGTTAGCCATGAAAATGTTTAATTAACAACGCTTTCATCGTGGATTTTATAATCAATGTTGGGTAACTTTCAACATTAATATTTGTACAAGGTAGACCTAATAGGTAGCTACTTCTTCAAATTGTTCATGTCACTTTGAACATTTTGTTCTTTTCAACCGACTTCAAAAAAGGAGGAGGTTCTCAATTCGACCCGTATGTTTTTTTTTTTTCTATGTTTGTTACGCGATAACTCCGCCAATTATGAACCGATTTGAACAAATTTTTTTTCTGCGTATAGGTAATACCTCAAGGGTGGTCCCATTTAAATTTAATAATAGAAAAATCAATCCCCAAGGGTGGAAAATTGGGGATGAACTTTTTTATACGCAATATCTCCGCCGATTATAAATCAATTTGAACGATTATTTTTTTGTTGAATAGGTATTATCAAAAGGGTGGTTTCATGAGAATTTGAAGAAAATATTTCACCCCCAAGGGTGGAAAATTGGGGATGAACTTTTTTATACGCAATATATTCAATTTTTAGTTTTTTTTTGTGTTCACGCATTTGAAGTCGGTTTTATTTTTTTAAAAAGTTAATTATTTATAAATCATTGAATGTTTCAGGTCTTTGCCAGAAATTGACGGATTAAGTAAAGAAACAGTGCTAACGTCGTGGCTGGCTAAGTTTGATTGTATAATGAAGGGTACAGGTGAGTTCTTGCAATAACTTCCTTTGTACTGACTGAAGCTAGACTTGTGGAAGGCAAACACTGAAAAGCAAATGAAAAAATTGATGTTCTTAAAATTATTAGTGATGTCTAGAAATAAATAATTTTCTTCTTTGTAAACAATGATGAAATCAAATCAAAAATAGATCCTAATAATATACCCAATTGCCGTGTGGTGACGGCAGAGTAGAATACATTTGTCACCAACCCCTACTCTTCCCGCGGGTGTCGTAAGAGGCGACTTAGGGTCCACACATCAAACAGAGAACGGGCAGCAGCGCTCTCTGAAAAACATCAATCTTTTAAACTGCGATCTCCAACCCGCCTGCCCAGCGTGGGGATTATGGCAAAACCCTCCACTATAGTGGAGGAGGCTCATAGTCCAGCAGTGGACTGTAAAGGGCTGTTGATGAATATACCCAAATAGGTAGGTATATCATTCTTAAATAATACAACATGACATAAATAAAAAAAATCAATGAGATTCTAACAGTGTTAGAAATTGTTAATGCAATGTCAAACTTTTTAGAAATTTACTTTTTAGATGTTTTCATAAATTAAATTACAGAAGCACTGGTTGCCATTCCAAAAGGTCTAGCTGACGTCGAACCGAATGTTCTTAACAATGATAAAGAAGCATGTTGCAGTGTTGACGCATTTAACGCTTGAGTGTTGCAAGCCTTTGAATGTGTGTGACAATAAAAAATCAGTGTGCTCAGTAGTAAATGTGAGAACGTTCATACAATACATGGAACTCTACTCAAAATACTCTGATGTACATAGTAATGGGTTTAAAATAAATACACAATACATTAAATTCCTTTCAAGTGCTAATGACTGCATCGATTTTTAAGTAAAATGGTCCATGATTGAGAATAGTTGTGGAAATGAAATTGTGACATCAAGTTTAAATATTCAGAAGGATTAAACTTCAGTATACTGATGCTATATTTTTTAGTAATATTATATACTATATTGAGCAGTCGCTCAGTTTTAATTATACGTGATTGCATTAAACAGTTTTTAAGTAATGAATTAATGTTACAATATCATACCTAATGGAAAGTTAGATGGTTATCAATGGACTTGTCAAAAAATCAAAATTATATTTCAATAAATTGGAAGGAATTAGTATGTAAAATGAAATTGATAATAATCATCAAACTTTTGTTGATGTGGCTGTCACAAACGTAGAAGAACTTGAATCAGTAGCGATACATGTTGATGAACTCATTTACCTACTCAAACCCAGAAACTTTAAAGTCACACTGAATCTTTAGAACCACGAATTCCAAGCATATACTGAAATCAGTGAGTTTGTATAGCATAGTACCACTTCTGATTTGATAAGTGTTAATATAAATTTATGTCGCCTGCATCTCTCTCACTGTCTGTGTTTCTCTCCCTTTCTCTCACGACATGTCTCTCTTACACACCCCTACAGGAATAACAGGTATCACTCGGCCCATGGTTTCCTATTTCTTCATTTTGTATGCTTCTGTCATGTGCTCTTGCTTGGTTGATGTTAGTGTTGCAATGCTATTGTCTATTTTGTATCTACAGGTACCTACTTTTTTGTTGAAAACCAAGACATCACCACCGTTTTTAAATGTCACGACGAGCCAATATACCTTTTTTATTATATTTTTAACGAAATCTTGGTTTTCGGCTATGTAATGTTCTTACTGTGCTTTATCTCTAATAATATTCTCAGTTTTATATTCAATGCAAATAATTATAAGCTTCTTTTTATGCATATAAAACTTTATTGCAATAATGATTAAAAGTTATTAAGGAGGAGGTATTTTAAGTGTGGTAAAATCTTTTACATTCCTACTTTTTTAAAATAAAGGTAGCAGGTAAGCCATAATCTAAAGCCCCCTTTAAAGTTACAAAATATTCCAACCCTGCATGTTTACAAAATTTGTTTACGCTCGCTTAATAATTTTAATTAATATGGCAGCATTAAACAGGTAAAGTGAAAGGATGTGCTAATAACTATTTTTGATGGTTACATAAAAATATACGTTTAAAAGCTGTTTAAAATTTTTGATTCTTTAAAATAATTGTTAAAATACACCTTTATAACACTTTTTTACATTTCTTATTATATTTTTTAACATTTCCATGCCGTTTTTTTCTATAAAAAAAAGATTAGAACTTTGGATTATTTTTGAATCAGCAGCACATTAAGCAATCTTCACCATAATAATTATTTTTGTCAATAAAACAATTTTTGAACTGTTGACACATATTAATATTCTGTTTAAACACATTTGAAAGACAGATTATAAATCAACACACGCCACCATTATTTATTTTATGAAACGCCCTACTTGCAATGCCGTATCCTTAGCCTCCATAAGAATGTCATCCAGATAGGTAGCTAATATGAATCCCTTTGACCATAGGCATTCCCGGAGACGACGAGTCCAAAAGACCATCGAGGGCTCAACAGCAGAGCTTAAACGCGGAGTGCATCCTCAGCAAGGAACAGCTCTACGATATGTTTCAACAGATCCTGGGGGTGAAGAAGTTTGAACATCAGTTGCTGTTTAACGCGTTACTTGTAAGTATTCTGTAGCATACTCTTGCGACTGATATTTGTCTCAGCTATTGGTATACTTTAATAACTAGCTCAAAATTCTTTATTTGAAATGGAGCAGTCCACGCATCTGAAGAGATAATGAAAATATTACTAGTAAAAATTGCATTTTACAGCTCGATTCAGCAGATGAACAGGCTGCAGCCATCAGAAGAGAACTTGATGGAAGAATGCAGAAAGTGAACGAAATGGAAAAGGTATAACTTCATCTTTTCATCACTATTGCATTATAAGCACGTTTGAAACATAGAAGTTCTTTTATTTAATTCAGAATTACCGCTACCAACCAACCGATCAACATGGAAATCATTGGGGGAGGCCTATGTTTAATGGACGTCCTGAGGCTGAAAATGATGATGATGATTTAGAATTTCATAACTTGGTTAATGAATTGTAAAATTATCTTTTTGCAGAATCGAAAATTGATGCCGAAGTTTGTCTTGAAAGAAATGGAATCGCTCTACGTGGAAGAGTTGAAGTCATCAATCAACCTGCTTATGGCCAATTTGGAGTCACTGCCTGTGTCCAAGGGCGGTGCCGACTCCAAATACGGCCTTCACAAAATCAAGCGGTATAATCACAGGTCAGTTTCCATTTTTTACCATAAAGTAGGTAAACACTAATTTTAAATTAAAGTATTTAATCAAAGCAAGTTTTGACAAAAGACTTTTGCTTATGTCTATGATTAATATAATTGGCTATAAATACTATAAAGTTATATAATTATGATCTAAAAATCAGTCTTTGCAAAGCAAATTGCAAGAGCATGGATGTATTTTTTGATAACTATGTAGTTTGGATAAAGAAATTGACAATATTTATGCTTGGTGTTGGACAAACTAAGTTTGATGTTGTGTCTAACATCGTTATCATGTATTTTGTGTGTTCAATGTCTGATGCTATAGATTGAGCAGTGATGATTAAAACGTTATCGAATAATAATTATTATCTTATAATATTTTGTAATGTAGTTTGGTATACTTGACTAGCTTTGATATTCATCATCACTGGTCAGTCTTAAGTCAATGTTCAGCTCTTAGTTGGAAGCAAAATTTCTGAATGTAACCGTATTCTAAAATATTTAAAGTTATGATCATGTTTAGATTGAAAATAACAAAATGAAAACTTCAGTATTGCTTCCTTCTAGTAATTTGTGTGTTGCAAAAATATTAATTTACAAAATTCTAATGCAACAGAATATTTTAAAACGTTTAGGGAACTATCTGTCTACTGTTCTATATTTCTGTTCTCTCTCTATTGCACTTAGACTGTTGTGTTCTTTGGACTGGATGTAGCGTCGTTTCCTTTTATAAATCATTATCCAAAACCAGTAAAACGCATGTGAGTTGCGAATAAATATTACAATTCCCATCAGTCATAGTCATACACCAAAAATAGTAAATAGACGACCATCCAGATCCACTACCATTTTACACTTGTTTATTTCTAATTTGGTTTTCTGCCCCTGGCACATAACTGGACTAAAGGAAGTACAAGTAATGAGTACAAAATTGATAATTGAGCACGTGTTTTGAGACTTGTGTAGAGGGACCCTACACCTGGCCTGAAAATACCTACTATCAATCCTTAAGTTGTCATAGTTAGACCACAAGTAGAAATTAGAAATGTAACTACTGCTAGTGCGCTCGAGAATCCAACGTAGATGAAGCCAGTGGTCTTGAAATAAATAACACTCATGACAACAGAGGATATTAAGCTTTCACAACACAGCCTAAAGATTTTATAAGCTTACTTTTTAATAATGTAGATGAGGATTTTACGAACATAGTACAAGCTAAAACACTTTAAGCAAGATAGCTTAGCGATTATAGATTTGAAATGTAGACGAAATTGCGAAACTAATTTTGAGATACTAGAAATTTAAATGAGAGCTTTTATTAACAGGCTTTGAATATCCACAGCTTATCACTTAACCCTATTTATTTAAATATCTATCTTATTTTACTTTCCTACTCTTCCTTCGATCCTTAATAATTGTTTATTAGAAATAAAATAGGTTCGATTAAAAATATTCGCTTCGAGCTTAAGAAGGGCTTCGCTTTATAACCACTATTTAAGTACTTACTAATATCACAAACGTCAATGAACAAAACTTTTATAAGCTGTTTATTGACTTTTAGCCATTCATCACTATTTTACTAATCACAAACTACACTTAGAACCAAAACTCCAAGTTCATCAGATGTCAAACCTATAATAAAACATGGCAATTTCTAAAATCCTGTAATTGAAGCATCTGATGAGTTTTGAGTAGTAGTAGAGTTAGCTGTATTTACCAGAAACTTTGTAATATTTCCCTTTGTCATGCTTAATCATTCTTGGTATCGGTGATGGTTCAATATGTATGCCACCATTTGTATCCATTTAAATAATTGTCTGGCCAAACCAATTGCTTGGGGCATTGTTAATCCTGTATTTAAATAAACCTCTCCTGTAAAATTATTGAATACCTTAACACCACATCTACCTTTAAATTTACCTTGTAATTCTAAAATTCAATCGCTCATTATTGTATCTTTTGTGTCGTGTTTATTAATGTTTATAATATTTTATTCAATTGTGATGGTCTAATTTTGATCTTGTATTTCAATAACATTTCTTTTAATTGTTGTCTTAAAATTCATACTAAAATCTTTCTCTAAAATTATTTGTATTGTTAAATTTTTAATGTTTTGCTTCGGAATTGGTGATTTCTAAAATTGGCTTAACTGGTGGTGGATTTTTATCGGTTATGGTGATCAGATCGAATGCCGGACCCGACCCGAGCCCAAGGCTGAGTAAGCAGCTGTGTTTCAGATCTCAGGGGTCTCTGGCCAACAAGCTGACCGGCGAAGCTGATGGTGGTGATGTGGATACACAGCTCACGAAAATGGACGTCGTTCTGACGTTCCAAATTGAGGTAATGTTTCGGAATGCACATGATGAACAAAACCAAACGGATCCGAAAACTCTTTATTACGACACTCAAAATTCTGTGTTCATCAGCTTAAATTTGAGGATTAAACCATCGTTTCCTTGCAGTTTATCTATTCTCCAAACGTATCTTTTTGTTTCATGAAAAATACTATCTTCTTCTTTAGATGTCTTCTTTATATTACTAATCTTGTTACTAACATACACAGAATTAATGCAAATTACGTTATAGGTGGTTGTGATGGAAGTAAAAGGTCTAAAATCATTAGCTCCTAATCGAATAGTTTATTGTACAATGGAAGTGGAAGGGGGAGACAAATTGCAGACTGACCAAGCAGAGGCCTCCAAACCCATGTAAGCAAAAATTTTTTATATGTTTCTAATTACAATGAAAATGAAGAAGGACATCATGTTAATGAAAATGCAATTATTTATCCTAGGTGGGATACCCAAGGAGACTTTAGTACAACACAACCCCTCCCTGCCGTTAAAGTTAAATTGTACACAGAAAATCCTGGAGTGTTAGCTTTGGAAGACAAGGAACTAGGGAAAGTAGTGCTCAGACCAACACCATTATCTAGTAAGGTAAATATTAAAGCTATTTTGATCATAATTACTTTTTCGTGACATTTTCTAATTGACGTAATTTCTCCATACAATTATGGATCTCAAAAAGGAATTTTATGTGATCTTACAGGTACCGGAATGGCATAGAATGACAGTTCCAAAGAACTTGCCAGATCAGGATCTAAGGATCAAAATTGCGTGTCGAATGGACAAACCATTGAACATGAAGCATTGTGGGTAAGTTAGAGTAAGATAGACAAAACAAACAAGCACATTTTAAACAAGATCAAAACCTAAAACCTATTGGCAATACAAGAAAACACTCGTTTTTTTATTAAACGCGCTTACTAAAAATGACGTTAACTGTATGACGGATTGTACAGCGCCCTTAGCGGGAAACGTTCAAAAACTAAAATTTTCATACATTTTCTAAACGCGCTCACTACTCACACTCAGCCCACACGTCATGAGTCATTTTTAATGCCTGGACTTAGAACTCTTGACTCGAATTCCCGCCATTGTGACTTATAAAATAATATTTTCTACTTGTTACAGTAGGGACTTCACTTGCCAGGTACTTTTCGCGGATTTCCACAATAACTGGCATTTAAGTGGCAATGTTGGTTTGGTTGCTGTTACTACTTCACTATTATTTTCAGCTACCTCCACGTCATCGGCAAAAACGTCTGGCGCAAATGGAAGCGCAGATACATGGTGCTCGTCCAAGTGAGCCAGTACACTTTCGCGTTATGCTCGTACAAGGACAAGAAGTCCGAGCCTGCTGAGATGATGCAACTGGATGGGTTCACTGTGGACTATATCGAACTGGCCAGTGGTAGGATGTTTTATACCTTTTGTCATATCAAACAGATAGGTTGGAATTTAGATCAGTATCAATGCTCACACAATTTGAACCCTATGTTCTAGAGCGATGTTGAAATTCACGGGAAATTATATTTGTAATATACTGAAATTATAGGATTAAGATTAATCTCCGAATTTATTACCATAACGTCATTATGTTAGATAGAAATTAACGAGTAAATCATTATGATTTTCAGAACGCCTTCGTTCTCGCTGAAGGATGTAATAACGAATGCTTTTATGTGTTTTCATCATAGGTTTATTGCCTCTTCCAAAATTTTTAGCATAGCTTATACTTAATAATTTATTGTTAAGTTCATAGTAATCTTCATTGCACGATTTCTAATACTTTTATTACTTTCTCGAATTTTACAGCACAGCTGATCGTAGGACAAGGTAAGAGCAAACAAATAGGTAAGAAACATGTTTTGATATTTAGTAGGAGTAGGCTGTAGAACTGGTAATAGATCTTTCATACTTCCATTTAGGACAGCTATTATAAAAAAGAAAATCTGCTTCTATAGAGCCATAGTTCGCAATGCTCTCATAAATGCTATCAAAGAAGATAAAAATTACAGTGAATGAGCATTTCAAAATTATCTAAATTCATGAAGAACTTCCTAAAATAATAAATTCCTTAAACTTGGCTTTGATCTGATAAAACAGATTTATTTATAGTACCAAAGTTTAAATTATTTAGAAAATTGTTTAGACGAAGTATTTTACCTAAAAAAATTAAGTATGGTAAAGTTATACACAGATCTAAAATTTTAAATCCGAATTGGCAAACTTGCTCAATAGAAGAAATTTTACGTTAAACGTTGTCAATCTATTACCTGCCCCTGAATCTTTTGCATGTCTTTGAAACTCTGTCCCCCCTGCTAATGGCTGTCAATGTTAATTGTAACCTGGTGGACCTAATGCATTAATACTGGTTTCTATAACTTCTCTTGACCCTTTCAAAGTCTTTGTAAATGTATCTTCTGGAACACTACATGCATTATGGATCGTCTAGACCTTCAACATGAAGCCTGAGTAGTCTTGCCTTCGACATTTCACCATCTAGCTAAAAAGGCCTACAAAAATTACAATTTGTTTATTCAACTCAACTTTAACGTGACTCATGGGAAAACAAACTTTGATTCAGAGCTGGAAGGTGCGAAATACTTCATGAATGCAGTCAGAGATGGAGAATCAGTACTGATGGGTGTGACTGATGAGAATGAATGCCATCTGTGGGTAATGGCCTTGTACAGAGCTACAGGACAGAGTCATAAACCGACACCGCCTACGACGTCTGATACACATCACAAAATTATGGGAGGTAGGATAAAATTAAACTTTTTGTTACTTCAGACTCAGATGAAGGTAGAGATGTTAAAATTAATGATCTCTAATTAATTCCAGACGCAGATAAAGCTCGGAAACATGGCATGGAGGATTATATTCAAGCAGATCCGTGTCAATTTGACCACCATCAGTTGTTTTCGATGCTACAGTCTCAAACATTGAAGTACCGACTTGTGGATCCCTATTGTTCATTGGTAAGTAATTTTTTGAAAATTTTACATGACTACTAAAAATTTTTGGACAACTCTTTAGTTTTATAAGGATTTTAGAAATTTTGGGATCATGTATCTTAATTCTGAAACATTTTATTGCGTATTGACGTCACAACTTTCTTTCAGGGATGGTTCTCCCCTGGTCAAGTATTTGTACTAGACGAGTACTGTGCTAGATACGGAGTAAGAGGTTGCTACCGGCATCTCTGTTACCTCTCAGACCTTCTGGATGTAGCGGAAAGTGGCCAGCAGACTGTGGACCCGACATTGATGCATTATTCCTTTGCCTTCTGCGCCAGCCACGTCCATGGAAACAGGTTAGTATATCTCTGTAAATACAGAAAAATAATACCAATAAATAAAATATTTAACTATCTCTTGGGTCTTGGATGAATTTAGATCCAGATAAATACTTTAGAAAAGGTTAAATAAAAAGTATACTGTTATAAAGTCCGAAGACATTGCAAATCACTTTTTATGAAACTGTGATAAATTAATGATGTGATTCAAACTTTATTGATGGGGTAGTAAGAATCATAGAAATAATAATATTATGAAAGGTGATCAATGTTTAAAGGAGATCAATACTAGAAGTACTAGAACTGAATAATTAATAGTACTGAAAATGATGAAGATCGAAAAATTTTCACTATAATATTTATTTATTATTATGTAGACCCAGTTTAGTTCACACATGCACGAAATACAATTTAAATTGTAATACATTTTATGCCCCATATAAAATTTGTAGTCTTAAGTAATTTTGTTATGATCCTTTTTGACTTGAAGATATTCTTGTCCTATAACATCATACCCTTAGATTTAAAAGGTATGTCCAAATATTCTAGTATTTAAATAGTTTTGGTGTTATTCTTGAATGATTTGGTGTAAATGAATGGTTAGAGGGGCAACTGCGTTTGGTTACAGTAAAAAGTATTGTAAAGTTTTAGTTTTGTTTGTTTTGTTGACATTTTGGCTTTTGTTGTGCTTCCATTACGTAACATTACAAACGCCTTTTTCATTATTCACGAATCATCGGTGGGAATAGGATTTAATGTATCTTCAATTTAAATATCGATGTTAAATTTTGTAATTAATATACGTCAGCTTCGATTAATATGCTTTCATACACGTAGGGTCACCTTGGGCCACTTTGAATTTCATTCTCAATAACTTTAAGCAATAGATAAATAAATGTAAAATTGATTTGTTGAACACTCAAAATGAGAGAGGGATTAACTCAGGTGGGATTCGATCCACAACTTTGTCTCTTTAGAATGGTCTATGAATCAATTTCAAATTTATTTTTTGCTGTTTAAGGTTTATCATTTGACATTCAAAGCTGTCTAGGGTGACTGTTCTAATATAAATAATTGAATCACAGCATCAGTATTCAGTGTCGTGTTAATTGATGTTAAATTTGATGTTCCTTCATCTATCATGTCATTTCTTGTAGTAAGGTTTCAGTGGCTGATACACAACAACTTTCAAAAGACGTTAATCGATTTGTGTAATATTATTAAAATTTTGTGATGTTTAAACTCGTACTATACAGCAATCTATTCTGCTATTGAATTAAAAGTGGTTTGTTATCAGTGACTGAAAACAAAAACATTTTCATTATATTTCCATGTACAAAAATTTTGAGTTCTTCTTCAAGACTCTGTTTAACGCTATGTCCGTCTCACTAATATTTCACGAAACTGACGCTCGCTCTTTGACAGAGTCCCTAAGTATCTTAACTTTTATTTTCTCATGTATAGGATTATTATTTTTCTTAGAATTTGTGTTACCAAGCGCAGTTGCCAAATCAGTTAAATGTCTCACATAAGCCTCAGTGCACCACGTACTGTCATGTTTGCTTCTAAATGGAATCTTTAGCCCCTGGACTATAATCGACTTCCCCTATATTCTTATTGCGGTTATGCATAAGTGTGCTTAATACTAACTCTACCTTTGCTTACCTATATTAATATTTTCTTTCTCCGGACTTGCGGAGTTGGCGACTTAACAAAATAAAAGTTTCATTAAAGTTATTTGGCTTTCTGAAAGAGTGATTCGATTTTATTTATGACTATGCCATTATTCTAATACAAATATAATTACCTAACAAATAAGTTTATTAACAAATAGTGGATTAGCTAAGGCTTATCCAACCAAATGAGCAAGTCTTTAATTGAATGGCAGAAAGTAGTTCACAATTTGCCTGTAACTGTAACATGTTGCGTCGAGGTCGACTTACATTAGACCACGTTCATGACGACATGGAAATAAAGTATCAGTAAACTTGTGAATTCAATTCAAATAATTTTTAGAAAGAAATACTTGAATGAAATCGTCGTATTATGACAGAAAACTTATCTTTTCGCAGTCTCTCTTCATACTTTAGAAGGAAACGGATTACTGATTGATTGTGAAAATCTGTTACAATTTTGTTCTTTTAAAAAATAAGGTCAAATCACTCTATAAAACAAACAAAATTTGAGATCTCAAAAGATCAAAATCTGCTAACTCCCTAGTCCACCCTAATCCCGCTTGTGCCCTTACTAGAGTAAGCCCCACGGTCGAAGTGGTTCACAGTACTGCCACGTTGCCTGGCAGGCCTGACGGCGTGGGAAGCATCACGGTCCAAGAGAAAGAGAAGTTCGCGGAGATCAAGGAACGTTTGAAGGCATTGCTGCAGCATCAGATCACGAACTTTAGATATGCTTTCCCATTCGGGAGGCCGGAAGGCGCTTTGAAGGTACAGAACTTGAAATACTTAACATTATAGCAAGACTTTTCGAGAAAGACCTGCCAAGTAATATAAACAATTGCTCAAGAATTAGAAAAGATAATTCAAACCAAGATTCTGTTTGTAAAAACGATGTTTCGTTTCAGTCAACACTTTCGCTCCTTGAGCGTGTTCTGATGAAAGATGTGGTTACTCCAGTAGCTCCTGAAGAAGTGAGAGCGATGATACAGACCAGTCTCGAAAATGCAGCCTTGTTAAATTACTCACAGCTTAGTCAGAAAGCTAATATTGAAGGTAACTGATCAGTCAATTGAAGTTGAAATTCATATCTTGATCCTATTGCAAGAATTTTAAATTTCGATGTATCAAATTTGCAGAGGATTTGAGAGGAGAAACAATGGTAACACCAGCGAAAAAGCTAGAGGATCTAATACATTTGGCTGAACTTTGCGTAGATCTTTTGCAACAGAATGAAGAGCATTACGCAGAGGTAAATTAGATAAAACTATACAATCTACATCAAAGGAAAAAATGTTGGAGCAAAGCTTTGGTCGATTTTCACTTTGGATTTGGCGATGAATAAAACCCAAAGATTCTTGCTCCAAAATTTTGATTTACCTAATTATCGTTTGTCGATCTTAAATGTCGTGGTTTTTGTTTTATCAGAACTTTTTTAAACTTTCTCGATAATAAAAAAATAGCTTTTCCTGCATAGTAATGAAAATAATATTCAAAATTATTAGATTGTCCTGAAAAGTTCTGGTAATTATGATCAATGTTCACTGGAATAGCACCCTACTCTTCTTTCGCTATTTTGATGAGGCCTTTAAATATATATTATAATAAACTGACATCGATACCAGCTTGAGAAGACTCAGTCTTCTCAGCATCTAAAAATGTTACTTTTGATGTCAATTTATTATATTCAAGTAAGTACACAGCGGAAAAGAGTAATTTGTCTTAAATACTTATTAATATAATTTGTGTATTCGTTGCGTGCTCTTCCAATTATTATAGAATCCAACCAAAACATTTTATTTTCCTGAACTATACATTTTATTGCTTAGTCGTTAAGCGAATATGCAGTTTAATTTTGGAATATTCACTTTACGACGTTTGTTATACGCAGGATAACTCTGTAACATTTGGTTCTCTTCTATTGTATTTTTATTTCTCCGCAGGTGTATAACACAAAAACGGAACCAAGACCGGAAGGTCAAGAAAATGTAAATACTTAAATCTGTTGATTGCTCGGCTGATCAAATCACTTGTTATTTGTCACACTCGATCTTGATCATACTTCACCTGATTGGTTTGATCACAAGTTTTGTGCGGAGTAGACTCGAATCAAAGTCCCTATAGTTCAACACGCGCTTGAGCAAAATGCTTAGTTGTTAGAATTCTGGGACTAAGCTGCATGGATTCCAATTGAGAATAGTCAATTTTGGTGTGATGATCCATGTTACGACCCAAACTTTTCATTATAGGCTAAATTTTTCCAAATTTTTCTTAAAAACGTTTTTCGATTATCTCATAACAACAATTGGCAGAGCATTAAAATTATTGCATAATGAAAAGTGTTAAATTCTCAATCAGTCTACTCCATAATTTTTGTAAGCCCACTACAACATTATTTACATTTTACAATCGAATAAACACTACATTGTAGGATTGACACATACATCGAGCACATTACAAAGAGTTTTGCTTTAGTAGAAGCTCATTTATTACTTTAGTATCAATTCTATGCTTGCACTCGCTGGACATAATTGTAAAGTAGTCAATTGTAGGTGTTTTATTAAAACACACACCTGTAACATCAAAATAATGTGACATAACTCACATACTGAACAACATAAAAATCAGACAAACACAATTTTTCAAGTATTTACAGCTTCTCAAATTTCAATCACCAAATCAAACATAATAAGTAGATAGTGCTTTTGTACTTTATTTGATTGTGAGTTTGTTGCATGAACCCTTTACGAGTTTACATTATGTTGATCTAGAATTTTTGTATTGAAACAAAGTAGTTGCGAATACAACATAGCTGTACTTGCAACTATTTTTGTAAAAATTGTATAAGGTAAGTTGACCATGAATTCTTAATTTAATGAATGATTTTATTTCCCAATCAATACAATAAAGTACTAAATAAATTACCTAAAGTTTTCTCATTGCAACATTCCAAGTCATCTTATGTCATTTTGAATATTTTTGTCTTTTTAATGAATGTCCTCCTGTGTCTCGTGCATTATGAAGATATCGTCAATATAAACCTTGATTTACATAATCACTTTTTCCAAATTCAAAAACCTAACTTAAGCATTTGCTTTGCCAGTCACCTTAGTGATGCCAATCGGCATTTTTTTGCCACGCATCTTCATAGCCCAATCACGTTGCAACTTTTCTGTGCAGGCGTTCGCGTGGTTCTCAGAGCTGTTGGTAGAGCATGCCGAGATCTTCTGGGCGCTGTTCGGAGTAGATATGGACCGGGTGCTAGCAGAACAGCCGCCTGACACCTGGGACTCTTTCCCGCTGTTCCAGATCTTGAACGACTATCTCAGGACTGATGGTTAGTATTTAAATAATATTCAGTTACAAAATTCTGCCATAAATAGAAAGAAAGAAAGAAATAGACTTTATTGAACACAGTAAGTACAAATTAAAAACAATAACAACACAAAACGCTCAGCATTTATCCTGACATGCTCGTAAGGGCATGTCAAGAAATTGGTCTTCCGCGAGAGCCCTTGTTGTGGCTTAGCACATAAATTGTGATTATGTACAAAAATTTTTGAAACTGTTTTGAATGAGTCTTTTCTAGTCTAAGGAACTGTCGGTATAATATGCAAACATTGTTTACAGAAAACTTGAAAGGTGGTCGGTTCCATGAGCACTTGCGAGACACTTTCGCTCCCTTGGTTGTCCGATATGTGGACCTCATGGAGTCATCCATAGCTCAGTCACTTCACAAAGGCTTCGAGAAAGAACGATGGGAGATCAAAGGGTATTTTTTTTTTTCACTCATATAATTAAAAAGACCAAACAATAATTCTTTTGATTATCTACAGAGCTAGAATCTTGAAATAAACAATAGCAAACTAATATGAATCTAATTCCTTTTCTTCAGAAATGGGTGTGCAACCAGTGAAGAGTTGTTCTGGAAGTTAGATGCATTGCAGTGCTTCATCCGAGACCTGCACTGGCCAGAACCAGAGTTTAGGTCGCATTTGGAGCAAAGGCTGAAGCTGATGGCCAGTGACATGATGGAGACGTGCATCCAGAGGACAGAAGCATCCTTCCAGGTGATTAGGAGAGTGATAGTAGTAAAAGATAAAAAGAAATATAGGGCAACGCTATTCTAGACGATGCTTAAAATCTCCACAGAATCTAGGTTGTTTATCAAGTTCAACTTAGCATCATTTATGAAATCTTTAGAAAAGCATCGAAAAATCTGTTCCCCATCTAATTTCCAAGTCTTCTTTTGATTCCAGTCCTGGCTAAAGAAGAGCATCACCTTCATGTCAACGGATTACATTCTTCCCGCGGAGACTTGTGCGATGGTCAATGTAGCTCTGGACGCGAAGAACCAAGCCCTCAAGCTGTGCGCCGTTGAAGGGGTGGATATAGTAAGACATTATAGGATAAGGATAGGTAGTTGGGAGGTCGATCAGCCACGTTACTTTCTGTTGAAAACAGCGCCATCATTGCCGAAAAATTACCAATTATGTGAGCAATAATGGCGAATTAGATTTTAACGTTATGCAAAATATTTTTGGGTTTCTATTAGAATTGTTACATCAATTTGGAACTTCCGTGATGGCATGACTCGATCCTCGACAGATGTTTGAACCGTTACGTTACAAAACGTTATCCAGTGGTGAATGTGATTTTACAGATAACATTGATGGCTGGGTAACTTTCTGTATACGTAACTTTTGTTTTTGTATTTAGACTTTCATAAAGCTCGCTAAAGTCTTAAAAACAAACATTTAACCACATTACAGCACAGTTTTATAACTCTATTAAACACTACGCATTTATAAACTTAGCAAACAACAACATATCCCTCGATTTGATTAGAAAATCTGCAGTAGAACGCACTCATATGCAAACATACCATACTCATAAACACATTACATACAATCATTTCTTTGCACGAGTCATGCTATCAACGACGAAGTGTATCCATTCGAAAATGGAGATTGGCATGGCGGCTTTCGTGGTGGGGAGCTCAAGATCGGCATCGCAACTGCGTTAGGTCCCACTCATGACATTCACCACAAGCACTATCTGTAAAGATTGCACCACTATCCTGAGTGTAAGTCTTGAAATTGAACACTTCTTCTCTTGAAAACTAGACACCAACACATTGGCAACACTTTTCTGTGAACTTACAACCAGGTTACAGCTTGTCGTAGTGCTAAAGTCTTCTTGTCCTCTTTCTCAGTAGCTCTTTCTTCATCTCGTACAATGCCATAGATCAGTTTAAATACGTCGGTTGTTTTTTTCCTCAGTATCAGTATCATACCAAAATGGATGCACAGATCGAGTCGTGTCTGCAAGCGATGGCTACAGGCATGACCACCAGGCTCTCTGCAGTGCTTGAGGCTACGTTGGCTAAAATTGCGAGGTTCGATGAGGGAAGGTAAGTGGCAAAAATAATGATTTTAGGTAAACCAATGATTAATGATGATTTTAAATCTACCTTGTGTGTAATACTGTACTCGGTAAGTCTTAAAAATGTTGAGTAGCTAGCTACAGTTACTGTGAGTGAATTTAATGTTACACTTTTTACCACTTTTTCAGCCTTATCGGATCTATTCTCACGATAGCCAACGTATCCGGCTCCGGCAAGGACATCGGCCAGGGTTACGTTAACTTTATGAGGAACTCTATGGACCAAATTAGATCGAAGGTAAGAAACATGAACGATGTTCATCATCATCATCATCATATCAGCCGAAGGACGTCCACTGCTGAACATATAAGCCTCCCCAATGATTTCCATAATGATCGGTTGGTAACGGCCTGCATCCAGCGCCTTCCTGCTATCTTTATGAGGTCGTCGGTCCACCTTGTGAGCGATGTTAACCAAGGCAAATAGGATAATATCATCAAGACACATTCCCTTTTGAGAGGTATCCCTAAATAAATAGGAGGCGACTCATTCAGACAATTATTGACGAGAGAAACACAGGTCTCCCCAACCCTCCTGGCCAGGAGGAACGTGTAAGCCAAATCCCAATTATTTTCCTGATGATGATCCCCCTTCTTCAGGTGACAGACGAGCTTTTGATCCTGGAGCTGTAATCCAAAGCCTCCATTGTTACTAGTAACTTATACAGGGTGTCCCAGAATGGGTGAATCAAACTGCTAGGGGAGGTAGCTCTACTAATGGACTATCCCAAAAAAATATGAAAAAATTTTTGAGTTCGGAATTTTTTTTAAATAAAGTGCTCTAAACTCGAAATGTAGTCATTATTTTCAAAAGTTTGTTTAAGATATACGAAGCGATCATGTACAATTATTATTACTAAGAAAAAAGTACAAATAAACTCCAAACGCAGCAATTATAGCCAGATACTTAGGCAAAGCTGATTTATTTTCACTTTTAAAAAAAAAATTTTTTTGTTTCCTTAAGCGCTTTATTTTCTTTTTTTCATATTTTTCGGGATAGTACAATAGTAGAGCACCCCTATCAGTTTGATTCACCCATTATGGGACACCCTGTAGAGAACGTACATGGAATAGCACTTGTGGTCACGTTGAGGCGTTCACGTCGATTGTAGAGGCGGACGATACGACCATTTATAAATTAAGATAAATTAAATGAAAAAAAAAACAGAACAAAATTAATAATTAAAAGTCTGAACATAATATTAATTACTTCTTGGTGTTGAGCTACACCGCGTTTATAAGGTGTACCTTAATTGTAATTGCCTCGCTCTATATTACATGGTTTCATATATCAATATGTGGATTACGTAGTGGGATGTGTTACCACATATAATACATAAGTCTAGTAGATAAGTTAATTTCTGTAACACATTTGTTTGTAATTCCTAAAATAAATAAATAAATAAATAAATAAAATTTGCTCTTATGCTCCTGCAGTTAGTGACTAGACCTAATGCAGATGATCATCCTCTTTCTTCAGGTGACAGACGAGCTCTGGATCCTGCAGCTGTTCGAGCACTGGTACGGCGTGCAGGTGCAGCTGATCCACAACTGGCTGATAGAGCGACCGGCGCTGCATCCGCAGCAGGTGGCCTGTCTCTCCATCACGTTGAAGGTGAGGGTTTCTTTACCACTTCTATTGAAGAATTCATCATCATCATCATCAACAGCCCTTTATAGTCCACTGCTGGACTATGAGCCTCCTCCACTATAGTGGAGGGTTTTGCCATAATCTCCACGCTTGGCAGGCGGGTTGGAGATCGTAGTTTAAAAGATTGATGTTTTTCAAAGAGCGCTGCTGCCCGTTCTCTGTTTGATGTGTAGTCTCTAAGTCGCCTCTTACGACACCCGTGTGGTGACGGCAGAGTAGAATACATTTGTCACCAACCCCTACCTACTCTTCCCATGGGTGCCGTAAGAGGCGACTTAGGGTAGGGACTACACATTGAAGAATTAGTTACAAGTAAATCATGTGAGATCCGTGATACAGCGTGGTTAAACTATACAACCAAGTTAAATGCGCACCTGGCAGTCGTGACGTCACATCGACGCTCTGAGAGTCGCATTCCAGCAAGGTGCGCAGTTAGCCGACGGGGTGGTATTTGTACTCTCTCACAGAGGAAATGTTGATATTTGCTTCGCAGACACGCTTTTATTTTTGAGTAGGTAAACAATGAGTTTTATTTTTTACTAACTTTCCGCCCGCGGCTTCGCCCGCGTGGATTTTTGTCTGTCACAGAAAAACAATATAGCGCGCGTATTTGCTCACCGTTTAGACCTACCCTGCTGGACTACGACAAACATTTTAAAACCAAAATCAGCTCAATCGGCCCAGCCGTTCTCGAGTTTTAATCTGACTAACGAACATTAATTCATTTTTATTTATATAGATTTTTCTTCTTTGTTTAGTTATGTTTGCGTTTATTGAAAAAATATCGACAATATTTATTTAGTTATACTATAAATTCGTGATTAGGTAGTCGTTTCGTCGGCAACACGTCAGACTAAACACCTATACCACCCTATACCTTCAAATGCCGCAGTACTTAGGTACCTTCTCCACAATACTGATCTCCCTTGCTTTCCACCCACAGAAAATGTACAGCGACTTCGAGCTGCAAGGCGTGATCGATGACAAGCTGAACTCGAAGGTCTACCAGGGTGTGGCTGCGCGCATGCATACGGAAGAGGCCACGTGCAGCTTGCTGCTGGCTCAACAGGACGCTGGGTATGGAATATTCGAGATAATCCGCATATTGTTTTAAAAATTACAAGCAGAAGTTTTGTTTCAACAAAAACATGTTCACAAAGACTTCCCCAAGGATCACAGCGACCAGTCCTGCGTTGCTTGCATTCAGGTGTTCACCCTACACTAGATCGGGGTTGTTTACCTTGTGGGATGTTGGCTGTTTTCACCAACCAACTCTGTAAGACAAATCTCTGGGCGGCTGCCAACAGATTATGCTTTGTAATTTAACCTCTTACCTACGGGAGGCACCTATAGTTGCCAAGTCAAAAGTCACTTCTCAATACGGGTGGCAACTATTGTTATTTTGGCAAAGCCAATACTAAATCACGGTTTACGACAAAAAGACAATAAAATTGCAAATTAAGTGTAAACTGCGCTTGTTATGAAACTAATTATGAAACTACATTAGGTGCAGAATATAATACTTATTCCAAATTTCAATACCGTAAGACTTTAAATACTTTTTAAAAATATCTTGATGTAAATTGGAGCAAACAATTTTATAGGTTAAAATACCCCGTATTGAGAGGCGACTTTGGTTTCCAAGGGCCCGTAGGTAAAGGGTTAATAAATTTTTGAGCCTACCAACCAGCTCCAAAAGTTATCATCACTCTAGCGACTTAGATTTAACTTCCCTCGAATTGGCCAGTTCGTTGCCGAACTGCGGGTCTAGTCAAAACGCACTTTAAAATCGCAAACCCATCGCAAACCAGTCGCAAACAAATAAACAAATCGCAAAAGAGGTCGATAACAAAAAAGGCTTAGTCAAACGGCAAAAAATCGAATCGCNAGGCCTAAGTATCTAATCCCTCGAGACTAGTTATTGGTAAACCCCATAGCTAACTACGGTCATCTCGCATAAAACTAGATATACCATTTAAAAATGCTTAACATTACTTTCGGTAAAACGTAATAATCGCCTACACGCTACGATTTCGAATCCGATTCTCGTCCAGCACAGATGCTGAACTGACCGAATTTAAAAATGGCGTCGCAGACCATAAATATTATTTTTTAAATGGTGTTTTTGAGCTTACGCTCTAAGCCAGCTGATCACAGACCACAGATGAAAAATCCAAAAATAACGCGACTCGAACATTCAAAATAACGGTAGCGTTACCGCGTCAGTGGCGCCACCTAGAGCGCGTCGAGCGCCGCGAACAGCGGGTAGGCGGCGTCGAGGTGTTCTCAGAGGCTGACCAGGCTGGCGTGGTCGGGCGCGAGAGCGGCGCGCGGCGCGGGGTGCGGGTGGACGGGCGTGAGGCCGGTGCCGCCTTCCATCAGGCTGTCGAAGTTGAACGGGATCCCGTTGCTTGGTGTGCTGATCTCTACGCCGGGCGCGTCCGTGTTGGCGAGCGCTTTGATTTTGTGGTTCTGCAACAATAGATTCATTTTGTAAGTAAACGATAAATAGATTGCTATTACGTAATCAAAGTGAAAATCTCGCTTACAGGGTTCCATAAAATACACACGGCCACACTGTTAACTATCCATTTCCGTTTTTGCTCTCGCTCTAATCAAATGGCGATTCTTTGCGATAGAACGAGACGACATGACAGGCAATGGATAGTTAACACTGTTGCCGATGGTACATGAAGGAAAGCGACTCAACAATTTGCTATATCATAATCGGAGTAAAAATCTCGCTTAGAGGGTTCCATGAAATAAAAGGACCACCCGCTTTTTCTGCTGATGGTATGAAGTTCTTATTATAAAGAATGGCTATATGAAAGATAGCTTTCCGCCCGCGGCTTCGCGCGCGTGGACTACATTATCTACATATTTTACGGAACCCTATTTTTTTCCAAAATAAAATTTAGCCTATGTTACTCGTGGATAATGTAGCTTTCGAATGGTGAAAGAATTTTTAAAAATGGTCCAGTAGTTTTTGAGCCTATTCATTACAACCAAACAAACAAACAAAGTTTTCCTCTTTATAATATTAGTGTAGATAAAACGTCTAGTGGCAAATATCAGAACTTATAACGCAGTATTGATAGTAGCGCCCTCCTGTAAATGTCAAATTTTAAGAATGTCTAACGTGGCAAAAAACGGAGCTAATAATTAGTTAATAGTAACACACTCCTGACAATGTCATAGGTGGAAGGGTTCAGTATTAGACAACTATATTTGAAGTTGCATCATTGACAAATAAAATAATCGATGCTATAAAGTAAAGACCCCTCTTTATTATAATCATACTTGAAACACAAATCAAACAATAAATAGCAAATAGCAAAAAATCTGCTGTTATTTGTAAACAATCACAACTCTTTTTTAGTAGTAGTGTGTTGAAACATCTTTCTTATGCAAACAGAAATTCAATCTTTGACCATCTATTGGACTTCGGTCAAGGTTGGTGTCATAAGTAAGGTACGAGTGTGTATGCATGAGTCACAATTTTTCAACACTGAGTCATTAACTATTATAAAACAATAACTAGCTTTGTAACGATGATGCATTAAAATAAATAGGTAAACTCATTATTATATTTATTTTTGTAAATGATAAGGCATATAGAAAAGTTAAGTTTTTGCGAATGTCAATGACCGAGTTAAGTATGTATTGTTGAAAATCTTTAAAAATAAAACCATTTGAGTGTTATCTTTTAGGACAGGGTTTCCCAAACTATGGCATTTATGACATTTTAACAGTTATAGATGACCCACGCTGAACTGTCCCACCAAACTCAATGTCAGGGGGGCGCTATCATCGTTGAACTATATGGTTTCCAACATGGCAAAAATCGGAACCAGCGATCCGGTATTGACGGTGGCGCCCCACTGTCAATGTCATGGATAGGACAGTTCAGTATTTTGGAACTATATGACATTTTCAGGAAGGCGCTACTATCAATACTGGATTATTAGCTGATTTTTGCCACGTTGGAGCACCGTATTAATTAAGACATTTACAGGAGGGCGCTACTATTAGTTTAGGTTTTTTGCCACTTGAAGTTTTAGAATCGTTTGACTAGTCATTAAGGACGAATAAAAGGTGTAAGAGGGTTTTGTAACAGCTTATTTGTAGAAAATAAATGAATGCTGTTGCCAACGCCACTCTTGCATAGACCCAATATATTGAACTGTCCTATCCGTGACATTGACAGCGGGGCGCCACCGTCAATACCGGATCGCTGGTTCAAATTTTTGCCGTGTTGGAAACTTTAAAGTTGAACGATGGTGGCGTCCCTCTGTCAATGAGTTTGGTAGGACAGTTCAGTTTAGGTCATGTAACAGCCTATTTGCATAAAATAAATGAATGCTGCAGACAACGCCACTCTTGTAGCGGAGTTTTGGGCTGACACTAGGGTTGCCAACTTTTCTTTCAAAATATAAAGTATATCAGAGGTCGGAGAAGAAAAACAGACAGTATTAAAAAAAAACAAACAGTATAGCTCTACAACGCGTACTTAAATGTGGTGTTGGGCATTTACTTTTAAAAATATCTATGGATACTAGTGATGCTAGCTGAAAACAGTATTTTGTATACTTTATTTTTGTTCAACAGTAAAAAGTATAATTTAGTGAAAAACAGTATAATACTGTTCAAAACAGTATAGTTGGCAACCCTAGCTGACACTGTGTAGGCTTTTTGTCGACACTATAAGAAGAAGAAGAATTACTTGAATTTTAATTTACCTGTGCAGGGTTGGCTTGTAGCGGCACGTGGAGGAAGGTGGGCCGCGAGGGCCGCGCGGCGGGCGGCGTGTCCAGCGTCACCACAGATGCTGACGTCACCACCGCCGGGTTCGCCGCCGATAACATTATCCTGGGGGAAGGAACGGTAAAGTTAGGATTATGCTGCGTGGAGACATAAGGCCCAGTTTTTTATTCTTAGTTAAAATAACTAATCGTTAAATTTTGCTACTAATGGTTAAATATTTCCATTTACATTGTTCGAAAAACATTTTTTTCTGATATTTAATCACTTGTCATTTGACGTCTGTCAAATTTGACCATTGGTTATTTTAACTACGAATCAAAAAACCGGGCCTTAGCCTGACTTTGACTTTTTAGACCTTTTATTAGGGTCGGTTTTCACCAGTGCGAAGCGGAGCGGAGAAGTGTTTTGACCAATCATAGGTGGAATTGTGTAAATCAATCGTAATCATTTGACAGTTCATAATGTACGATAAGCGTTTGTCAGAATAATCGTACGTTATGAACTGTCAAATGATTACGATTGCTTTACACAATTCCACCTCAGATTTCATTATTTCCACTTCCCATCTCCGCTCCGCACCGCTCCGGCTTAGTGGAAACCTTAGTGAAAATTTTGGGGCAAACCGGGGCGTTTGGCCCGACCCCAAGGGGGACGACAAAATAGCAAGGGGGCAGTCGAAACTAGACTCGGTCATCAAACTTATGAGCGTGTGGGTTGACCACGACACAATAAACTTTAAGCTGTAGTGACTAGCCTTTTATACGGCAGGTCCAAAGCTTTATAACTGCGCCTCCGAAAAAAATATTTACATCTTCAGTCAGTCAGGTCTTTGGCAGCATAGAGCTGCTCTAGTTACAGCACTGCTGCTGCGTGGAACGGTAACAAACATTTAACATACACTATGTAACAAATCTGTCTTTTTTAAGACTAGGGCGGTGCCCAAGCACAGGGCTTAGAAAAGACCTGACTGACTGACAAAGTTATACTTATAGAAGCTTGCACCAGGCGTATAATAGGCAAGTTACGTCACTCGGCAGTGGATGTAGTGCTACCATATTTTGAATCATGCTTAATTAATTTAACGACGAAAAAACACCTGCCATGCCTTAAATGGTACGACTACTCTACTCGATATCACAGATCAGTTTTATGGTTTAAAATAATAATTTGCAATTCTAACATGGTATTTCATTGTTCAGGAAATTAACAAATTACGTCCGTAGTAACACTTCTGTAATTTTTCCTCATGAAAATAGAACGGTAACTACATGTAATCTATAAATAATTATAATAATGTGATAAATACGCGTCAATACAAAATAGAATTTAGATAAAAAATTGTGTCTAATACCAGAGTAAATACAAATGAGTAGGTCACATACAATACGTATGCGGCGCGCACGCACACACTGACAAAATTTAGCGTGGATTAGCGCATACGTATTGGCGCGCGCTCACATACAAACCGCGCTCAGTGCGTTTCTACGAAGATGATCTACTCATTTGTATTTACTGTGCTAATACCAATGGTCTATAATCAAGAATCGTCAAAGATTAAAAAAACGATTAATTGTAAAATCTTACCTTTTGTCTGGCATCGGCGAAGTGAAGATATCGCTATCCAACGCTATGACGGGATCCATGGCGGGTTCCACCGCCTCCACTTTGACTCGCACGCCGTCGTCAGCTATCGCGGGGTACTCGTACGGGTCGTTGAAAGGCTTCACGTCGGGCGGGCTCGAGGACCGCTTGCTCAGCCGACACGACAACAGATGGCGCTGAAGAACCGACTGCAACTGCTCTCTTTCTGCGCCCAACCTCCTCAATTCATCTTCGAGCGAGCGTTTCTTCTCCTCCAACTTGTCAGTCTCATCTTGCAATTCGTTGGTGTGATCCAGTCTGCGCTTGCGGCACCTCGCGGCGGCCATCTTGTTGCGTTCGCGCCGGATCTTCCTTCTCTCTTCCTCTTCGGGGGAGATGTCTTGCGGCGCCTTGGTAGGGCGCCGGCCGCCCATGTTGCGGCGCTTAGGCGCGGGCAGCCCAGGGCTGCTGCTGCTGTCTCCGCTGGCGGAGAGCGGGCCCGGCGACACGTGCAGCGCCGTCGTCGGGCCCGACTCGCAGTACCCCACTTGATTCAGGATGCCTGGAAATTGGCAATTCAGCGATAAGTTATACGGAAGATACATAAACGTGGCTACAATAGCCTATGGCCCGTTTTCACAAAGCGGAGAGGTATGGAAATAACGAAATCTGATTGGGTATTCATACACATATTCCCCACTTTGGTGCAATTCGGATCTAATGGAGTCAATGTCGATTCGAGATTAGAGGTACGCTAGTTCGATCTCCGTCGACCGCTTGGACTATTATCTGTGCTATTATGGTGAACCTACTCCTAACAAGCATTTATTTAGCTGAGCTGGAGGGGTTAGGGGGACTATTAGTATTAGAGCAATAGACATTTTCTTTTCTAAAAAAAAAATACCCGGAACTTTCGGGTCCGTATTCGTACCCAAATTGATTCAGGCAGGATGCTTGAAACTCAAAATTCAACGTTCGAATTACAAGATGCAAGTACGTAGGGCACACCCGTTCGAAAAGGGCCGGCCCACGCGAAACAACGCAACATTGTTAGAAGTGGTTAGCACGAGCCATTGAATATTCATAGCCCTATGGTAACGAGGAAGGTGCAAGCTTGCACGGATTAATGCAACTTAATTTGTGCATGGTGATTGCTCTGCTATTAAATCTTAATTTATTAACGTTATAAACGCATCTGTGCAGAGGTTCATTTGAATTTAATATGTACAAAAAATGCCATACGTTAAAGTAATGTTGAGTACCTACCTAGTTGATATAAATGTAAAGGCAAATTGTTTTGTACTTGATGTTATATCGTTCCACGTGCACATAATAATATTATCGAAGCTTCAAAGATACTAAAATCAAGGTTTGTTTCAGGATTAAAGAAACAAGTGAAAGCATCAGTGCCTTGCTGTCGATGTGATAATCGGTAGTTCTAACGCTTTCCAATCCTGGAACAATCAAAATCAGGACATGATGCATAGTTAAAGAGCCTTTCATTGGGGGTCATATGTTCAGCAGTAAATGGCAATGCCAGATTTTGTATGGAAGGTGGCGTCTTTTTTTTTTTCGCGCGGCCATCGACCAAACTTTGTTTTTTGATTACAAAATAGTGTAATAAACCAAACTTACTATGGCATGTATACCTCTAAACTCAGTCTGAACTGAGTTACGAGCATTAGAAGTTTGATGATTTTCATACTAGATTTGCTTTTTGCGCGCAAGTTTTGTAAGAAATTGCAACAAAATATTGCGCTATTTTTTTATTGCGCTGATTCTGCTTCATACTGATGTCTGGAGCCTATAATGGATGGTATTGTTTGTTTACACATACAATGCCACTATTTTGTTGCAATTTCTTACAAAACTTGCGCGCAAAAAGCAAATCTAGTATGAAAATCATCAAACTTCTAATGTTCGTAACTCAGTTCAGACTGAGTTTAGAGGTATACATGTCATAGTAAGTTTGGTTTATTACACTATTTTGTAATCAAAAAACAAGGTCTGGTCGATGGCCGCGCGAAAAAAAAAAGACGCCAATTTCCGGCATTGTCTTTTAGCTGCGAACTGTAGCAGACGAGGCGAACAAAATCGGCAAGACTCGGAGCGTGATCAAACGCGAAGCTCAAGACCGTACGCGATGGAGGACTGTTGTGGACGCCCTCTGTCCCATCTTGGTGCCCCTAGACCTTAAGTCAAGTAATGTGTTCAGCAGTGGACGTCCTGTGCCTGAAATGATGATGATGACCGCCTCTGTGGTCTAGTGGTCCCGGGTTCGATTCCAAGTGGGGGTAGATTTTTCTGTTCGGTTTGGTTGGTGGTAGGGTTTGTTCTAAGTCCGCCTGGCTAGCTACCACCATCTTACCTAAGTCTGTCGCCATAACAACAATGTTAACAGCATTGTTGTGTTCCGGCAGTTAGAGGTAAGATAGCCAGTTCCTCCGTGGTTGAGGATTCCGGGTGAATCCACCTGGTGCTTCCACCTTCGGCCTGATCATCACTGACCATCAGGTGAGATACAGGCCAAGAGCTTCCTGGTTGTGGATAAAAAAAATGATGAATTAAAGAGCCAAGACTCACCGTAATGGTTATTGGCGTGCGTGACCGAAGGGGGCACGAAGCCGGCGTGGCTGGTCTGCTCACTGCGGCAGTTTCCGAGCTCGATGTAGGTCTGCTCGAAGTTGCGTAGCTGGGTGGGCGTGATGGTCGCCGTGGTTCTGGTCGGGACCCCCGACTGGAGGCCCTCAAGGTTTGCCAACTGGAAACAAAAGAAAGATACACGTAAGTCACGATACTTCTGTTTTTGATTTTTTTTTTTGGTTTCGTTCTTTCCTCTTGCAGGAAAAGGCAAAGGCATTCGCCATACAGCCAAACTTCTGTTTTTGAACTGGCTGATTGATTTCTGCTTAGTTTTTCTGATGCATGTTATGAATAATAAGGTTACAAATGATTACAGCTGTACCTATTTGCTTCCATTTATCATCTTGTGTTTTTATTAGTTTATGCTTATTGCGAATTAGCAGCTTTGTGATAATAAACGTTTTGTATTAATGCTATAACAATTAATTATTGCTTGTTTCATAACAATAAACATTCATAAATAAAAATTTCCTATAAATATTATTCCGATAAATTAATAAAGACAGATGCGCTTTAACGTTATTATGAAAACATTATGCAATGTTTATTTATCTTCGGTCGACAGAATTGCTTCCACATGCCAATCAATATTTATCAGCAAAATATTTGCATTGCACAAGTAAAACAATGAAAACACATGGATACTATTACAAATTACTATTAAGTTTGACATACTTAGTTGGCGTAAATAGTGTTAGAAATTGTAACGAGCGCGTAGGCACGTACTCGTAGACATTTTGGCAGTGCTAGGTATTTTTATAGCACCTGCTGTGTACAATAAACACGGTTTAAAATACAATAATGCTACTAAAGTAGTGCATTAGCGTAAGCGAGGCGGTTGAAAGCTAGCTATAAATCAGTCGCACGCATTGATCTCAATAATAAACAAAACAACGCACCCACATTTCGTTACTCACAGAAGTAATTAGTTTGGAAAAGAGTTAAATATAGGCGATTGGTCACTAGGAAAAGGAATCGCACTCATAATATTTTGACTAAGCAGACTGATGAGTGCAAGCGAGTTTTGCGAAAGCCTAAGTCAATTTCAGTGAACTATTTAGAGAGAGATCCTCAATCGCTGATCCAAAACAATTTCATGGGTATTGATAAATAACAAGGACCTTTAACCGAAGAGTTATGGTCACGTTTTACTCATTAAGACAGACGTAAATGAGATGTATTAAGATTTAAGAATTATGTTCGCAGGAATAGTGAGAGGCCTAGCACGGAACCTTGTAGAAGTCGATTGAACGCTAGAGATAAGAACTAATCCTAGGCATTTTAAGCGGTACGCGGCACTGTATGTTCCACAGGCACTGATATGACAGGCACTTTACTTTTCCCGGTATCGTTGGCAACATCTTAATACCTGGTGGCACCATAGCTCCGTGGCCAGGATGTTGGCTATCTCCAGCGGATCGATGTTCTGCATCTTGCGGTGTGCTCAAACACGTTTATAATTAGACGCTTACTCTATTGTGTTGCGCTTTTTGCGAGGCGACACCTTCGTACGGTTCGAGTTTGTTAGTCGATTTTCGTTATAATCCGCCCTCGCAAAGTACAGTGTTAACTGGGGTCGATCCGTCGATGCACCGGTGGTGGCGTGCTTTGGTTCGTCGGGTTATAGTAGACGTATCACGTAAGGGGCGGATCGGTGTTCGTTGTTGCGATTTCGCTTGCAGTCGTGTGCGCGGGAGTGCGGGTCGTTCGTTCGTTGCGCGCGCGTACGGCGGCCGGCCGCGGCGGATCGCGCGCTACTGCTGCGCCGCGCCCGCGCTCGTCGCCCGAAATCTTCGCCCACGAGCGACTTCGAATCATTTATTAATAGAATACTCCTCTAACTCCGGAAATATTTCGCGTCATTTCGCATCGCACGCGGCGGCTGCTAGTTATCTGAGGTAATGGGCGACCACAACAGCCTCCGAAGACATTTCACCTCAGTCGCCGGCCGCCCGCCCGACGGAAAATCTAAACCCGAACCTTTTTTTTTTGTTTCCATAACATGTTACCCAACACATACTCAAAAAGATAACGAGAAATTTGTAATGTTACATTGTAGAGCCCGCTCCATTTAAATTTAAATTTCACTCCGCTACTCTCTCTTGAACACAAATCAAAAAGTTGACCGCCCCCATTCCTCGAGTCTAATCAGCGCAGCTACTTAACGCCGCTGTTCTTTTTGTCTACATTACAGGCACTTAAGTTGTCGTCATTAGCAGCGAGTCGTGGTGCGGCACGACGCGACGCCGCGACACGGTGGGCGGGAGGCTCGGTCGGACCTTGCGGCAAGGTCGCGACTGCCAGCCCGTGGGCGCGATGCCCGTCTGAATACAACCTTATTTGGCATTGTTCAATATCCCATACGAATTAATCATATACATTTACATACCAAACCAAATTACCATCGCACGTGAAAACAACATCAGCTAATTTGAAACTCAGCATTAATACAGCATCAAAGAGAAATCCGAGTGCCGTTATATCCCAAAATCAACACCCAGATGTCTCAAGACAAACAATATTGCATGCAGTATATTCCGAGAACTGTAAAATTACGATGATCCAAACAATTCCTCGGTGAATTACGCGAGCATAAAGGGGACAAAGGCGGCAAGCTGGTCCGGAAGGCGCAGTGGCCGGTCAATTACCACAATTGCTTAAATGAAATTCGTCTCAAATGCGCGCGCGCCGAACGCTGCTGCCCGCTGCTACGGCGCTCGTTAATTGGTCACGGTGCTTACCTAGCAATTAACTGATGCTTTATGTGTTTATCTTGCATTCTTTGATATCGCCAATGAGGAATTTTCGGTTGCACATTGCTATACTTTATATTTAGGTTAGTTAAACGCAATTCGAACTCATTTCTTCATTGTAATCTGCAAATCTAGTGTAGCAAATGCCCTATTTGCCCAGATATTGCACCGATTACGAACGCAGCTGCGTCTTTGCGTTTGTGCAACGTTATTATGGACTAGTAATTAGCGGCAAAGCACCTCAGATTAGGGTATAACAGCGGTGTTGTGGCCACGATAGCGCCCGCGTGCTGAGACGCCCATGAGATCACCACTATATCTAGTTGTGACGTAAATAATAATGTACTTACAACACTCGATCTCTGGTAATGGTTATGCTTTTTGTTGGCATTATAGAATTTTTATTGTTGTTTTTATCGCAAGCCATTGGCTAGACAGACCGTTACTGTGAGATCAATACCGTTGAGGTATTATGTTCTATGTTTGTTTTAAAAATCTAGTGAATAGAGATTTTGGTATAATTTTAAGGATTTGTGTATTTAACAGAATTTATGTTGTGTTGGTCCAACATTTATTTGGGATTTTATCTTAACTGATAATGGCCGAGATATCGCCACACCACATGGTTCCTCATTCTTTCCTGTCAACATCAGCTTATCTATCGTATTTGCGCTGTTCATCACTTAATGAGCGCTACGATTGCACGTATCGCGATTCACGTCTTGTCCATCCATTAGCTTCAGGAAACGAAACACACCTAGTTTCAATAATATTCTGCTGTAATTAAATATAGTTTATTTTAACGTGTTGTGCAAGCTGTGCGAAACAGCGGACGAAGATTTTATTTTCTCTTCGGAAAGCTGAAATTCTGGAGATTCATTTGTATTACAGTCAGGGTCGACGAGATTTTAAGCTTAATGTTTTACTGCAAAATTAACTAGCACTTTTTTTCGGGGAATAAGGGCGATCTCAATGTCAACATGTCACGTCTGATGTTCTGTGTGAGTGCCTTGTCCAATATTGAAGAGAGTGGAACAAACATATATTTCACAGTTTAAAGTTTTGTTGGTGACATCTGTTTGTTTTCCTGAAACGATTGAGGCATTTTCCGAGTCCTCATCACCACTATTTATAACAGTATCAGCGCCCGCTTTCCGGGAACGTTGTCCGATAGCAGCGACGCGGGCGCATCAGCGCTTATAAATTAACAAATAAATTGATTAATTCATAATAACCAGCTATCAACGGCCAATTTCCGACCGAACGCTTAGTGACACGTATTGGTGTTCTGTGTTCGCCATGAGGAAACAAAGCGTAGTTTTGATAATTTCGAAACTATAATATTAATTAACTCTTTATAATGTATGAAACAATATAAGTAGAAAAATATTCATATAAGTCATGCTTAATTGAAATGCAACAAAAGTAGAACAGAAGCAATTAATTAACACTTAATATGTTATATCTTAACAGTAAACGACATCATTTCTTACGTTATCACACAAGAGACTTAATTAAATGTTATAAATAGAAACGAATCGGTTCAAAATAATGGACTGGATAATACGAATGATATTGTCGAAAATTCTAGGATGGTCATGCGGCGTCCGTATCGTAGTTTTAGAGTACATGCGCGGACGCACGTGCGCTCCGCGTGACCGCGACAGGTGAGAAACAACGCGTGCCCCAACTGCTGCAATTCCAAATTGGCCAACGGACAAATTTTTCCAGCCGAAGATTGACACGGAGCTATGTATTCTGATATTTTCAAAACGATGACCTGAATAAACAGGGAAACTTGCGAGAAGACAAAAAAAAGTGCTTGAAATATACGAAACCACCTCTTCGCCATAGACTTTCTTTACACCTGCTGACCTGAAGAAGTAATTAAGAAAAAACATTAAAAAAGCTAAACTCGTTGTGGAAGTTTAATTTTTGTTTGAAAGGAAAGTGCTTGATTACACGCTGAAAACATGTATGCGTTAGAACTACAACAACGTCTGAGAAATCAACACTCAGGCTTAAACGCATATGAGCATTACCGAGTAATGGTTACCAAGAACTGTATACTACTGCATAGGAGTAGCGTAAAATTCCCTCCAAGCCATTACGTAGAGCCTCACTGGAGCTGCACGAAAACTGACCTCAATTCTATGGAAATACGGAACTTATTCACGCCGCTAACGCACGCCATAAACCACGGGCAGAACAACACAACGCTATCAAGTTTAAAGTGCAACATCGAGACTTGGAGTCGAACGGGGTTTATGGCACTTTGTATCTGGCCGGGTATATGGGAGCTCATTAACGCAGCGCTAATTGCTCACACTAATAGCACTCGGGTTGTCGAGTTAGAAAATTCCTT